TTATTGGGCATGATAGAGAGAGTCTTGTTATCTCAGTCCAGTATCCCGGTTTCTCTGTAGAAATCCCCCCCTCTCTCTTCCCTCTGTCTCTCCTCTCCCCGTACCTGACTGTTTTCTCCTGTTTCCCTATTCAAGGTTCCCTCTTAGCCCAACTGCCAATATGTGCACAGTGAAAACTTTAAGCTTACACACTAAAATCTTGTGAACTTTGTATTCGTAGCCCACAACTAGGAAGATGTGCGCCAGACCACGTCTCGCGTAACATGCTTCCCAATATCAAAATGGAACACTGTTACGCTGTGACGCCCCTGGCATACATCTACATAGGTCTGCAGCGCTCACACCCGAGGCAGGGCCGTGCAGCAACGTTAAGTCACCGGGTTTGTAATTAGTGATGTGAAATCATTTTTGTCTTCGTGCACACAACTTGATGGGGTTTGATAGGATTCATTTCGATCCAGAATGATGGGGATGAGTGCAATGGGCTACCACTGTGACCCGCTGATTGTTTTCAAAGGGAAAAAGGTGGATATTGGAGCGAGGAGGGCCGACCAGATCGCATACGGAAAGAGAGAAGAAGAGAGAGGGAGGGGGTTCCACTAAATTAAAATAGAGGAGAGGGATCCAATCTGCAATGCGCATACCGGTGCGGTTGCTCTCACCGTGCATGTGGGCCAGATCAAAAGTGCACACACGCACACACAGTACACAGGCTAGTCTGTATTGCTCGGTATTTCTCGCCATAGCCGCATTTGTATGCACGCTGGCAAAATAAATCTAAACTTTGCTTTGAAAGCTTTTCTCGCTTAAAAGTAAACGACATGAGTACAAGCAGGCCCGGCGTTATCTGCGGAGCGAAATGAAGCTGGCAACTACGTTTTTGAAAAAGGACGCGAGCGTGCTTACTTAGACTTTTTGTCAGGCCAATCCAGACCACGCTTTTGATACGAATAAAGTAAACGTGAAAGTCGGAAGCACGTGTCCCGATTCGCTGTCGAGTTATCGTTAGTGACACGGAGGCGAACCAAAGTTATGTGCTGATTATCGGAGCTCAAACAAAAGGCTGAGTGACATGCAGTTGCGAGAAAGTTTGTGAGAACGCGTACTTGTCGGGTCGAATTAGGTCGAGTAGTCGCGTGTGCTTGTGCTGTGTGCGCCCCGTGCTGCGTGGACCATGGACTCGCCTGCCTCCGCAGATCACAGGGCTAGTTTCGTATTGAGGACAGGCAGGCTCACTGTGGTGGCGAGGCGTGGCTCTGCTGCGCTTCGGCGGCCAAGTTTGTAATTAATGGACGGAGGTCCGCCAGCGGCTCGATCAAGTCCGCCACACTCGCTCGTGCTCGTTCTCGTGCCTCCGTGCTCGTGCACGTGCCTATTCATTACGCCGACAGCGTGGCTCATGCTCATGCTTTCGAATCACGAGCAGCAGCCGCGCGAGTTTACGAGTTCCCTGATTGGAGCCGAGGGAGGGGACCAGCGTGTTTGGGTGCGCGGCCGGAAGGGCCCACCGCACCACCGCACCGTTGCGCTATCGCTCGCTGCTAAAATCGCTCTCGTGGAATGGCGCCGTGTGAAACTGGCCCCCATCGAGTCTCTTTCACCCAAACCCTTCGCCGCTTTGATGCGTTGCGAGGACCTTTCTCTCCTCCCGGATTCAATTTCCATTGAAAAGTTGTCCACCTGCTGCCCACACCCACTCGACACTGTGCAAGGAAATGTGGCCATGGTCAGCCGCTCCACAATCTTGTTGCGCTTACCAGTATTTTTATCCTGATATTCCTATTGAGAAACAAAATAAATTCAGTGGACATGAGCAGTAATTATTAGTTGCTGGACACCTCTGTACCTCAAAACTCAGTTTTACGCGTACAAGTAATCAATCGGCACTTGCGTACCTATTTCCTGCAGGTGTACGCGGAATAACCATACCACACCGGCGTGGCAGGCTTAGTGGAATCTACGGAGCTTGACTTCCAAGCCACTTAGCTAATCACTAAATCAGCTCTGAAACCAAGCACTACCTTTTACCGTGTGTGCTCCGGCACTCTACAGCGGGTCCGTGCTCGGGGCCGGTCTGTTGCGAGATTCACCCCCGGAAAGGTTCTGTTGGCAAACCTGGGCAGCCCTTTTGTTATTCATCCTGTACTCGAGCCGGCTGGCCGCAGGCACGCAGGGGCCCGGCCCCGCACAGGACGGGCCCCAGGGACGGGGCCCGAGGCCCCGCTACCGGGGATCGCCCCCACCCGGCGCCCCGCGCCCCACTCGGACGGCTCTCTCGATGCAGAGTATTTTTCCACCGGGCCTCCTCCTGCCCGCCAGCGCGTCTGCCCGCCCCCGCCTGTCAGCCGCCTTCCGCTTCCAATTTGGTAGTTTCGCAGTGTAAACAAACTCAATGGAATACGGTTCCCTGACACAAAGAAAACAATAACATGGATCTCGGAGCAGCAAAGCGACACATGCAGGTTGGGCCTCCGTTTCTTCCTCCTGTCCCGTCCCTCATCCCCTCTTTCTCTGATTCCCTGTCTTTTTCTTACACACAAGCACCATACCTCCTCTCTCTCCCTCTCTCCAAGAGGCTAGCCTTTTGAGGATTTAACGTCTCTGTGCTTGCTGGCTCCTCAGTAAAGTCGCTTTCTCCCAAAAAATCCGAAACTGTCTCTTGGTTCAAACTGTAGGTCTGTCTAGTCTGTCAGTCAAAATCGATGGGAACGTAGTACTCACTACTAGAGTTTAAACTGACTGTAGTCTCACAGTTTAAACTGACACCTTGTACGCCATTTAGATGTGTAGTGCACTCCGGAAGCGTTCCTACTCGCGCATGGACGCTCATCCCTCCCCTTTTCTCCCATTCCACCGGCACCATATCTCATCCCCCCTCTCACATCTCAAACTTTTCTCGCCACGTCCCTTCATCCGTGTCTCTCCCCCCGATTGCCGCTGCCGCTGCGCGACCCCCCTTCAAAAGGGCATCTGTGTGTTTTCTCTTTGTGTGCTTATTTGGGACGCCCCTCCTCCTCTTCCTTTCTCGCCTTACTTGGCGTGCGCGCGGCAGGCACCACAAGTTGTTCTGCTTCCTCGAGCCTCATTACGGTCGACGGCACAGCCGCACCCCCCGCAACACACGCCCGATGTCTTCCTACGCTTTTCACCCAACCGTGCGTTGCGCATCCCTTTACAGTCTCTCTTGCTCTCCCTCTGCTTGGTTTCAATACTTTTGTAAAGGGACCCGTTTCCTACCAGACAGGAGGGGGGAGGAGCGTCAACACCACCTGTTGCATTTTCGGTCGCATCTATGGGTAACAGCCCAACAATGAACACCGTGAGTGTGAGTAGTCAAAAAAAGTCTCGTCACTACTTAAAAACTACACACCGCATCGATTTAAGTCTAAGGTGTATTGAAAGCATAGACAGAGGCTACTTTTGCCGTTGGCAACGGTGCGCGCACAGGAACATATGCCCATCTTCGCCTCCAACTGGACGATGCAGTCCTTTTCAGTGTGCAAGATTATGCTGCATCGCATGGGTCTTTGATTGTCAAAAAATATGCTAGGTACTCTTAAGAGATGCCGCTAGTGGTTGACCAAGGGGCTTTGAAAATCTAGGGCACCTTAAACTAAATGTCCCTAATAAACAAAGATATCGCGCAAAAAGACGCATCAATAACACTCGATACAACACAAGGGCGACCACTTTTCCTAAACCGTGGGTTCTGTCTGGGTCTACTAGGTCAAGGGATGACTAGTGGAATAACGAGTCTAATTGGCTTCGTTTACACGTACTCTAGTAGGATACACCGTGGTTCTGGCCCGCGCCGCGCACCGAGACAGACTGCCTCGTCTCTCTCTTGCCTTGGGCGGCTCGGCCGCAAGGTGCGTACCCAGCATGTTTTGGCGCGGGCCGCGTGTGCTACTTGGGGTGTCAACACACCCCCCGGGACTTCAAATTGTGCCCCCACAATTACACCACGGGGCGAACCCACACATTTAACAAATTTTTATTGAAAACAAACCAAGGAGAACAATACCCTAAGGCGCGGGCCGCGTGTGCTACTTGGGGTGTCAACAGTTCGTTTCGCAGTTAACCAGAATTGTTAACGTTTTGTTTTTATTCTCGTCACCAACATTCCACTTCGTGTACAGAGATTCCGTCGGATGTGGAACACACAGATGCGCCTTTGCGCCATCTCACTTGCAGCACAAAGGATACGCTTACCCAACCGACAGAATTTTCATTGACAGTGCTGCCGCGGCCCGGTCTCCAAGAGGAGCGTAAGATAAGCAGCAGCAGGGCCAGAAGACTCGTCGTCGTCGCTGTCGTTGTGGCGGCGGCGCTACGCGCGATGCGTGTGCCCTCTTGCTATGCCTTAATGTAAATTACATCGTTAAGAGCGCGCAAGAGGACATTAACTTTAAGTAGCGACTGAGCTGCGGCTGGCTGTGCGCGGCTCGCGGGGCCAGATGGGTTTTGAGAAAGTAGAGGGCCGGGCGGGGCGGGGTATCATTATGCATGCCCGGAATGGCGGTACTCAGTTCCGCTCGAACTTCCTGCCGCCGCTGCTCCACTTCGTCTTTGAACCGTTGAGACCAGACTTTGCTCCCTTATCCTGCTCGTCGTTGCCTGGAAATAATTGGATGAACACTTGACACTTTATCCTATGTAACTCTCCCCACCCTGTTACACGCCATCCTTTTGTGTCCCGCTGCAAGCAAGAGCTTTAGATATGATATGCGAGGGTGGTACCACTTCCTTTTAAAGTGTACCACATGATTCCCAGAATGCTTGATTCCGAATGATTCCCCCTATACTTTTATTGTCTCCATGTGGCTTCTGATAGAAAATAATGCTTCACACAAACACACTAATTCGACAAAATTATCAATGTTTTTTGCGTAGTTTTGTGACATTGGCATCTATTGGTTTAAATCCTGATGATTCCCAGGTTACACACATGATTCCCTGCGTTCGTCCGTCCTAATGGTCATTCTCTCTTTGTTTTACAGTGTAACGCGGCTGTGGGAGTGAAGGCATTCTTCGACATGATGCACAAGGGCCCCCCAAAGGTCATGTTGTTTGGGGCGGCCTGCACGCACGTGACGGATCCCATCGCCAAGGCGTCCAAACACTGGCATCTCACTCAGGTAAGAAAGTGCACAGTTAACATACTGGTGACCTCAAAGGGGCTCAAAGTCCTCAACTCACTAAAAACGAGTTTTGACTTCTTTCAAAGAACCTCTTCTTTGTGATAAATAACACCCCGGTGAATACGGTTTAAGAATGTCGGGCACATTTGTGAAGGTACAGTAAGGGCTGAAGTCCGAGTAGTTTCAGAATATCTAAGCTCAAGAGTCGAGATTAGGGAAATTATCGATGTATCGTAGCCCCCAGTTTTTTTATTAGTTTCCTCTTCGTCCTGGAAAATTCCGGTTGTTAGGGGGAATTTGTAACTCTCCGGGAACATCATCTCCCCCCCCCCCCTTTCCCACCCACTT